CGGCTCCCGCTACCGCCATCCGCCCTTCGCTTCTGCACCCGCGGCCCCGCTCTTGCACCGCCCTAAGGAAAGGGCCTGGGGAGGCTGACGGGGGAGCATCAGGTGTGCGCTTGGGTACCGGGGAAAAAAAAAAAAAATTCCCCGGACGCATCCGTGGCTTTCCAGCTGGGATGCTAGATTTCCGCTCGAGGAATTTTAAATTGGGATTTTCTGGCCGTGTGCCTGCTCCAAATAACTGAGCTGTTTGGATGCATCAAACGGTCTGACCCCATTCAGCTGATACTGCTCTAAATGATATATAATCATACTGCAGAGCACCGTCTGCTGAGGCTGGGACGATGCTAGCAGGATGGCAGGAATTCCGCTGGGAGAGCCCCCTCGGCACGGAGCCGTGCCTGCTTTGGGAGCAAGGATTGGAGGTCAGCTGCAAGCCCTGTGCTGAGGTCCTCGTGTGCCACATGTCACCATCTGTGCCACCTGCTGCCACGGGCAGAGCTCCGATTGCCCAAGGCTTGGCTCCCATCCTCCCTCGCCCAGGAAGTTTGGGATTAGAGGCTGTGCTGCCCATCCCCGGAGCTGCTGCCTGACCCAGCCTGGCACGGGGTGCTGTGCCACCAGCCCAGCCCACAGGCAGACCCAAAAAGCAGCGAAATTCACAGAGTTTGAGGTCTTTATTGGGGTCTGCAGATTTCTCTGTTTCAGAGAGGAACGGCTTAGAGACCCTTAGGAGGCCCTGGTGCACCCCCACTCTTACACAATGTGCTTCCCAGGGCCACAGTTCCACTTTTACCCTCCAGGTGAGGCAGGGAGAAGCCACGTGAGCACGTGCCTGAGCTAGAAAGAACAGTGTAGTGTAGTGTTTTCATCTCACCTTCTGCCTCTGGGGGAAGTCTGACTTGGGGCGTCTCGCCCAGATGCCCCGGCACTGCTCTCTGAACTTGGGTGCAGAGGACATTGGCATCTGCTGCCGTGGCTCTGCCCAAGGGGATGCTCCAGCCTCATTGCTCCAATGGCAAGATCAATTGGATCTTGCCATTCCAGGCCTCTCCTGGTTAACTGCAGGCCTCGCTTTCAGGGAAGGAGCAGGACGGCGTGGTTGTCCCCACGTCGGGGGGCAGGTATGATGTGCACCTGCGGACGCGGCAGCGCGTGGCCGTGTACTGGGAGGAGGAGGTGGCTGAAGTGCGGCGCTGCACCTGGTTTTACAAGGGGGACAAGGATAATAAGTTCATTCCCTACTCGGAATCCTTCAGTGAGGAACTGGAGGTAAGCACTCCTTTCCCATTGGTTTCCATCTCAGCCTTTCCTTGTCACATACTGTCTCTGGTGTCCCAAACCCCGTCCAAGGCCACTGGCACCACAGTCAGGCCTGAGGACATGAACTCCAAAGAGGCTTTGGCATTCCTGCAGCTAATTGATGTAACTGTGAGCACTGCTGTGGCCTCCCCTTCCCCTGCCCTCATCTGGCCTCGGTGCCTCCTTCCACGACACCTTGAAGTGCCAGGCTCTCCTTTGGGGCGAGATACAGACATAGAAAAATACCCATCTTTGCAATAACCTCTATTCTGATGTAACAAAATCATTCTGAGTTGATGGGGAAGTCTGATGCTGCGGCTGTCAAAGCAGGGAGTTCTTAAACACTCTCAGCAGGTGATCCTGGGATAACCCTGCTTCTCCTCCAGCAGATTTCTCTGTCTCTTTTGCAAAGTGTTGATAAGAGATTCTGAAAACTGGGTGGGGAATGTCCCAGGAGGTTGAGCATTGATGGGCACACTTCCAGCTGACTCACAGTGGGTGTTCTCCTCTGTAGGAAGCTTACATGATTGCTGTAACCCTGGGGGAGTGGAAGAGGAAGCTGGAGTCCCCCAACAGAGAAGTCATTATCCTGCACAACCCAAAGGTGAGCAGGGCCTGGTGATCTCTGTGGTGACCAGTGGGGACATCCCTTGGGTCTCTTTGTGCTGTTCCCTCCAAATGGGTTTGTCCAGGGGCATTCCACTCAGCCTGCCTGTACCAGAGGAGAGAGCAATGGCAGCCAGGTCTGCCAACAGCTTCACGTTTCTTTTCAACCTCTCTGGGCAAAGGGCTCAGCCCAGCACAGTCTGCTACCACCCGATGTCACCCGGAGCTGCTGTGGCTGTCTCTGCTCTGGGATCACTGACAGGCTCTTCTTGTTCCCAAGCTGATGGTTCACTACCACCCCGTTGCCAGCTCTGACGACTGGGTCTCCACCCCCACGGAACAAGGTCGGCCCCGGACTGTGAAGAGAGGAGTGGAGAACATCGCTGTCGAGATCCCCAACGGTGAGCTTGCTTCTCTCCTCCACCATCCAAAGCCCTGTGGAGTGTTTTCCAACCTGATGGCTCAGAAAAACCAGCTGAAGCTCCCATGATCCTTGAAGTGCACGTCAAAACACTTTGAGCCAAAAGGATCCAAATGGTTTCAGAAACCTCCCCAGCCCCAGCGAGCTGCAGCGTCAGTGAACGTGCAGAACTGCACATCCAGGGGACAGTGGTGAGCTTCCAGCCCCTGGACAGAGACAGAGCTGCTGGGAGCTCTGCAGTGCCTAAAATTACCCCTGAGGTCTGGATGTCTGCATTGGTACAAGAGGAGAGTTTCTTTCTCTGCTAGGGAAGACCACATGGTGGTTTATCACTTACCTACGTGCTGGTGGCACTCGGGGGCGCGTGCTCTCGCCATCTCTGCGGCCAGGTGTCAGCTCTGTCCCCTGCCACTGCCCTGGGCTCCCAGCCAGGCCTCAGGGAGAGAACATGGGGCAGTTACTCCATTTGCCATGGGTGCCTGCCCTCAGGAAGGCACGTATGCAAACTGAGGTGTGTGGGAATCAGAGAACAAGCCCTGACTCCACCTGTGGCTGACTGGGACATGCAGCTCCATGGAGCTCATGGGGTGGGCTGGGCATGGGGCAGCTGCACTGAGACCTCCTGACCCTGCAATTCCCAGTGCTGAACGATCCCTGTGGCTGGGCAGGGATGAACTGCAGTGCCACCAGCCCTTCCTCCAGGGGTCCTGCTGGTCCAGATCCATCCCAGGCCAGGCAGCTGAATTTAGCAGGAGAAATGTGAGAAATGCCAGCGCCCTTGAGGTGTAAACCCAGGCACTAACAAGGGTTTTCATGGGCTGAGCGAGGGTGGGAGGCTCCAGTCCTGCACAGTCCGTTCCCTGCTGGGCTCTGTCTCCTCAGCAGCCTGAGCTCCCCTCCCCTCCTCAGGAGAGCCACTGCAGATCGACCACCTGGTGTTCGTGGTGCACGGGATCGGCCCCGCCTGCGACATCCGCTTCCGCAGCATCGTGCAGTGTGGTAGGTGCAGGCTGGGAGCCCCAGCAGGGAGAGCCTCCCCTGGGAAATGGGAATTCCCTGAGCCTCAAACCATCCCCACATGCTGGCAGGCTGCATGGCCAGACCTGCTGACTTTGGGCAGCGTGAGCAGAGCACGCGCCGAGCCGCCAAATCCCTCCTTCTGAAAAGGTTGAGGCCACTGCTGTTCATCAGTTTTGCTTCACAACAGTTATTTTTTATAAATGTCTAAAAGTCCCTTGTCCTGACTGCCAGCCTAAAGCCCTGCCCCTGTGAAGGAGGTACAGATGGGGCAGTGAAATCCAGTGAACACACGTGGCAGGACACGGAGCCTCCCCTGATCTGACTTAGGGGAGCAGCAGCAGATTAAAGACCCCGGTGGGATTTCTCCGTAATGATCTTTCATCGTATTAAGTGGTGTTGGTGCCATGGGCTGGCCCCAGAGCCTGGTGGATCCCCCTGAGAGTTCTTGTGTTTTGCAGTGAATGATTTCAGGAACGTCTCGCTCAGCATGCTGCAAGCACACTTCAGGAAGGCCCAGGAGCAGCAGCAGGTCGGCCGGGTGGAGTTCCTGCCCGTCAACTGGCACAGCTCCCTGCACTCCACTGGCGTGGACGTGTAAGTGTCCCTGGGCCGTGGGGATGGCAGGGGGCACAGGCAGCTCCTGCCTTGCAAACTCCACTTCTCCTGTTGGGAAAGCAAAGGGAAAGCTGGGAGGGTTTAGGGCAGGACACTCAGGGACCCCCAGAGCCCCTCCCCACGCAGCACACCCACCGCTCCCACCAGCATCCTGAGGACAGAGGCTTTCCCTGGCTGATCTCGGGAGGGACCCTGGACATCCACACCTCGCTAAACTGAGTACCCTGTTCCTGCACTGCAGCACTGCTCTGCAGTGCCCCAGCAAGGGCAGAAAGCAGGCCAGGTTCCTGGGGAAGGAAGGACAGGCTCTTTATTCTTGGAATGGAAGAGCACAGGCCGTGCTTTGCCTTCAGTCTGGGCATAAGCTGGGGGTCTGGGTTACAGCATACATCCTTGGAGACTCTGTCAATTCTCTTCTGAACTTACACTTCAGAAACGTGGTGGGGTTCCGTGGCTTCCCCAGCTGCAGCCCCCACTGCCCTTTCCCCCGCAGCGACCTGGAGCGGATCACGCTGCCCAGCATCAACCGCCTGCGTCACTTCATCAACGACACCATCCTGGACGTGTTCTTCTACAACAGCTCCACCTATTGCCAGACCATCGTGGACACGGTGGCCTCAGAGATGAACCGCCTGCACCAGCTCTTCCTGCAGAGGAACCCGCAGTTCAAGGGCGGGGTGTCCATCGCGGGGCACAGCCTGGGTGAGGGCTCACACTGCTGTGGGTGTCAGCAAGCCAGGGAGGGCAGCCACACAGCTTGGCTTACAAGGAACACCTTCCACTGGAGCCTGTTCCTCCAAACCCTGTCCCAGCTTCCAGGGGTGTAGCAGCCACAGCTTCTCTGGGCAGCCTGTGCCACTGCTTCAGCACTGAGGAAATAATTTCTTCCTGACATCTGATCTAGCCTGTACTCTGTCAGTTTAAAGCCATTGTCCCTTGTCCTGTCACTGTCTGCCTGTAAAGAGTCCAGGGTGCAGCTCTTCCATCCCACAAAGGAGGTGGCTCGGGCTCTTCCCCTCCAGGTGCTGATCTCTGCCTGTGCCTGGTTTCTAGGGTCACTCATTCTGTTTGATCTCCTGACAAACCAGAAGGCTGATCCTGAGGAGGACGAGCACTGTGAACAGGTATGGGAGGTCACTGACCCCTCCCTCCTGCAGCTGCCTGGGGATGGGGCAGAGAAAACAACGTGTGCAGGAGCAAGCTGGTAAGCAGAGAGCATGATCCCTTCTGGGCCTGTTCACAGGGCTCCAGGGCAGCCTCAAGCACGGGGGGTATTGAGGAAGTAAAAGAAATCCTGAAGAAGCTGGAGCTGTTTGAGTATTGTGATGTTTTTGAGAAGGAGAAAATGGACAGGCAAGCACTGGTAAGAAGTTGCCCTGTTTTACTTGTGACTCTTGGCTTTTCTTCCCCATCATCCCACCACTGCACATCTTCTATTACTGAGTCACGCATGAAACATCTCTGAGGAGGAACACAACCCCAGAAAAGACACCTCACCCCACTTCTGCTCTTGGACTAACACCAGCCTTGCTTATTTTCCAGTTCTTGTGCACAGAGGAAAACCTTAAAGAAATGGGAATTCCCTTAGGGCCAAGAATGAAAATACTCCATTACATCAGCTCCAGGACAGAGAGGAAGGTTTGTTTTCTGCATGGCTTGTGCTCGTGCCATCACATCCCATCCCATCCCTCTGACACAAGGATCCCTTTGTGCTGCTGCAGGATCAGAGCTCAGCAGCTCCTGGGCACAGTGACCGTGGAGCCGAGCCAGGGTCCCCATCCCAGCGTGGGGACAGCTCAGAGGATGGCAGGAGCTGCCAATACCGGGACGTTGGCTTGGGACAGGTAACAGCTGAGCTCTGGCTGCACCCACAGAGCCCTCGTACCAGCAGCACAGAGATTGTCTCATGAACCAGTGTGAACATCCCCCTCTCCCAGGTCTCGGCAAACTACCCCCAGCTGAACTACAAGCCCACCATCTTCTTTGCCTTTGGCTCTCCCATTGGGATGTTCCTCACAGTGCGAGGAGTGAAGCGGATCGACCCAAACTACAGCCTGCCCACCTGCAAAGGCTTCTTCAACATCTTCCACCCCGTGGGTATAAGAGCCAGAGCTGTCCTGCGTGAGGCACATGGAGCACGAGCCCTGGCCACTGTCCCCCTCTTGTGTGCAGTTTGACCCGGTGGCGTATCGGATCGAGCCCATGATTGTCCCAGACCTGGAGTTCGAGCCGATGCTGCTGCCCCACCACAAGGGCAGGAAGAGGATGCACCTCGGTATGGCACAGGCAGCCCCTATCCCCCAGCCCAGGGCTGCTGCTGCAGCCCCAGCCCCACAGCCACCCCCTCCTGCCTTGCAGAGCTGAAGGAGGGGCTGACCCGCATGAGCGTGGACCTGAAGAACAACCTGCTGGGCTCGCTGCGGGTGGCCTGGCAGTCCTTCACCCGCGCCCCGCTGCCAGCCCTGGAGGCAGGGAGCACCGAGGCTGAAGCAGAGGCAGAGGCCAGCACTGAGAAGCAGCCAGGTCTGTGGTGGGGTGCACAGGGCAGGGGAGCCAGGGATGCGGCCTCAGGAGCTGCCCGTGGTGTGCCTGGACTCCCACAGCCACACTGCCCAGCAAAGGGATTGCCTTTGGGCTGTGGGGGCACCTGGCTCTCCCCAGATGCTGTGGCCTTCCCCTGTTAGCACTTGATGAAGCTGTTTTCTTGGGGGGGTATCTCAGCACACCACATTTTAAGTTTGTCACCCCTGCACTGCTGTTTCTGAGCAGCTCTCCCCTGTGTGAGCTGCCGAGGGGTGAAGGGAGGGAATGGCCCTGCTGTTGTATTGTCATGGCTGCTGGTGCCCTGTGGCTGAACCACGCTGCTCTTCCTCCCTCCAGACACAAAGGCAGAGGAGCCCCCAGCAGCAGTGAAGGAAGAGACTGCCCCCATCAACGTGGGGAGGCTGAACGGAGGGAACCGCATTGACTACGTGCTGCAGGAGAAGCCAATAGAGAGCTTCAACGAGTATTTGTTTGCACTCCAGGGGCATCTCTGCTATTGGTAAGTGTCTGTGCGGTGCTCAGGGCTTCAAATCTACCTGTGCTGGAAGCAGAATGGCATCAGTTTCAAAGCCAGTGGAGTAAGAAAAGCTTCAACCCATCAAGGGAACAAGATCTTCTCCTGTCTGTGACATAGAGAGGGTGGGCATGGACAGAGGGAGGAGACTTGTGCTTCTCCTTGCCTTCTGCTCCCTGCATGTGCATCTACCCCAGAGATGTCATGACAGAGTGGAAGGAAGCAATTCCCTTCTGATTCCCGTGTCCTCCTCCTGCAGGGAGTCAGAGGACACTGTTCTGCTGGTTCTGAAGGAGATCTACCAGACTCAAGGCATCACACTGGATCAACCTTTACCAGGAAGCCAGTGACCAACCTGTGCTGTCCTGGCTGTAAGTCACCTTTGCCTAAACCCCATCTGGATTTCTTAGGACATCTCAGAGGAGATCTGCTTTGTTTGAGAGAGTAACACCCAAGGCAAGGAACTTGTGTCAGCTTTCTTCTTTGGCCTGCCAGCACCTTTGGCTCCTCTTCCCTGCACACAAGCACAATCAGACCAGGAGGGTGCAGGAGGTTGGATTCTGGCTGCCTCACTGCAGCTATTCCTGTTCTCCTTTTGCTTTCTCAGGTCCAATCCCACTGAGTACTCACCAGGAAAATCCAGATCTCTTCTCTGCCTTCCTCTCTCCTCTGCTGCCGTGTCCTGCATGCTGCTTCCCAAGTACCTGCTGCTGCCTGGAGATAAGGATGGATTTTCCTCCATTTTGGGTAGGGGGAAAAACTGTCAAGGGAAAAACACTTCTTCTCAAACACACGTAACACCTGTAGAGTGACTCCCTGTGGCAATGTGAACCCTCCACCTGTGAGTCCCCACACCAGCTCCTCCAGCACTGCAGCAGACGAGCTGTCCAGGCTCAGAGCCTGGTCCTGACCCTGTGCCTGGCTTGATGAGGACACCCACAGCCCAGGACCTTGAGGAGGAGAAAAAGCCTTAAACACAGAGTGTGGAAAACACAGAGTGTGGAAAGAGCGACAGCAGCCTGGGAGCAAGGGAGATCTCTGACTGCTAACAGCAGCAGCCACGCCAGCGCTGCCAGGAGGCGAAGCCCAGGGCACAGGGTCTGCCCAGCAGCCACCCCCGTGTCCCTGCACTGCTGCTGCATGTTTGTGCAGCCCTGGGCCGTGCCAGGCAGGGCTGCCCCGTGCTCCTCCCTGCTGGGGTGTGCTGGTAGTGACAGCTCTGCACCCTCACCCAGCCCGTGCTGGCAGACAAGGGGCTCTGCACAGCACTGAGCAAGGCAGTCCCTGCTCTGAGGAAAGCTTCAGCCCCAGCTCCAGCCAGCCTGGGGAGCAGCAGCTGCTGCTGGCAGTGCCAGGACAGTGTGAGCCCACTGTGCCCCACAGGGACACAGAGCAGCGATGTTGTCCCACAGGGCTGGCGGGTGAGGACGGAGATCTCCTGCTCACCACGCTCCAAGTCCTTGTTTTCAGCTTTAAATGTACAAAACTCAGCCAGCAGAGGTGGAACCGGATCCAGCAGGGTCTGGACACTGCAGGAATGACACCAGCTCTGTAGGCAGCTCAGTCTGCACCTGCCTTGAAGCTGTTTTTTGGGGGGGACAGGGCAGGAGAGCCTCTGTGATCCTTCCCTGGCCACCAAAGCCCCTGGGCTGGCTCAGTGCCTGGGCTGGGGCTCCAGTGCTGTGTGAGGTGTTGCTGTGCAGCCTTTGGAAGAGCCAAACCACTTTCCTTCCTGCTGACTTTTGCCCTGCATGGGGTAAGGAGCCTTTTTCCCCCACAGCCTGTTGGTTTGTTTTTCCTCCATTGTCTGTTGTTTGCACTATCGGAAGGGTTTTGTTTGCAGCCCCCATCCTTCCCTCCCCTCCCAAGAACAGAAGCTGTTCTTTACCTGACTGCAGGAACAGCCAAGCTGCTCAGTCAGCACTGAACTACTGCTGGCTGAGGTCTCATGGGAATAGGAAAGGAAAGTCTTAACATGGGACACTAATGATCAGCTTTTTAAGTTACGCACTTTGTTAAAAAAAAAAGAAGTTAAATACATTTTAAATGTTAATGTCTTTTCCAGTAAAAGCCAAAATAAATAAGTAGATGACTGTGGTGTGTGCATGTCTGGGGGGAGAAGGAAGGGCTGGAAAATTCCCATGTGCAGTTTTAGGAGAAAGTGAAGCTATTTCTATAATTGTGTTGAAGCTGCAGAGTTACAGAGGGTCCAAACTGCAGCTGATGGAGTTCATCAGTGGTGTTTGCATGTACACACACTGGAAACTACAGCTGTCTCTGAAGGGACCAGGGACAAACTGCTCCCAGAGCTCCTGCCAGGCAGCTGGCCCTGGATCCCAGCAGCTCTGCCCTTCCTTGCCCTTCCAAGACAGACCTTGGGCAGGGAAATGAGCACCTGTGCAGGATGCTCTCACACAGCTGCAGGGATGCTCTGACACCATTTCATTTCTTGCTGTCATCTCCTTAAAACTCTACTACAGCTGCAAGGAAAGAGCACCCACCAGAAACCCTTGCAGACACCAGAGGAAATGGCTTATAAAGCAACAACTCAAGCCTTGAAATAAAGTTTTAGTACCACAGCTCATTACAAAAACGAAACTCCTTTATTTGGGAAATTAGAAAAACTCAGGTCCTGCATTTGATTTCCCAGGAGAAGGGCTGGGACATCGTGGCTGGATTGCAGGGAGGTGTCCAGTGGTGCTTCCTGGACTGCACACAAGAACTCCCACCAGACTGGGCACACTGGGATGTCACGTCTTCCCAGTTCCTGTTCAGGACCTTCAGAGCCCTGCAGGTTGCCACCCTGAGTGCCTCCCTCGCTCCACAGTGAACCTCAAGAGGGGGTGGCCTACAAAACTCAGTGAAATGAAACACGAGGGCCAGGGCAGGAAACTCACCGGCTCGGCAGGGAACACCTGCCCAGGGCTTCATCCTCATCAGAGCCTGCCCCAAGCCTTGCCCTGCCCTGGCGTCCAGGGAGCAGGCAGGACAGAGCCCATCACTAGACGTTCATGTGGAAGCTGGGAGTTGGAGGCTTCTCCTCCTGTGCTGGCAGCATTTTGGGCTTGGCCAGAGATGGTTTGTGGCACGTGGCGTCGGTCAGGGGAGGGTAGTACTGCCTGTAGCACAGGTATGCGAGCACCAAGCCCATCACTGAGCCAACCAACACATCTGTGGGCGAAAGCAGAGCAAAGTTAATGGCCCTTCACCCTCCCAAGCCCTGGGATCAATTCCTCAGCAGCAGCTCTTCTGCTAGATCCATAACCTGGCTGTAAAACCAAGCTTGGCAGGGGTTTCAAAACCACAGAGCAAGGCATCAGTTCCCCACAGGTGGCACCAAAATTGCCACTGGAGGAGTAAAAAAACAGAAACCCCAGGCTGCTCTTGGAGGCTCTGAACACTTCTGTGGCACCACAGCCCCCATGCCTGGAGTGCCCTGCTGAGGTGCTGAGCCCCCCAGCAGATGCTCACCCACCTTCCCAGTGGTGCTTGTAGTCGCAGGTGCGGGACACGGCGATGAGGGTGGCCAGGAAGAGGGGGAGGAGGAAGGCACAGAAGCGCAGGGCCCGGCCCCCCCGCCCCGGAACGAAGCTGTGCAGCTTCCCCGCCAGGTAGAAGGCAGAGAAGGCAAGGCCAGCAAAGGCAACTGGAAGAGAACAGAACAATGTTGGTTCAGAATAGCTCCAGGCTTTGCTGCCAGACCTTCACCCTCTGCTGCTGCTGTGAGAGGTGTCTGTGTGTCCCCATGAGCTCCATCACTCCATCTGGGAGTGATGGATCCTAGAAGCAGGTGCCTGGCACACATCCCTCCTTCTGGGGTTACAGACAGCTCTGGAGCACATTTCTCACCCCATCGCTTTGCAGAGTCCCCTGACCATGCCAACGAATGCAGCCAAAGCTGTGGGGTGCAGGAGAGCAAATACAAGCTGCCCTCCCCACGGGTCCTGCTCCCCACAGCTCCCTGCCCAGGGCTGTAGCAGAAGGAGCCACGGAGAACTCACAGGACGCGTGTCCACTGGGGAAGCTCTTGCGCCCCTCTGTCACCCTGCGGCTGTCCCCCGCACACAGCAGCTCGGCGTTGGCTCGACCGTCAGGGAAGCAGCGGTAGAAGAAGTCAGGCCGTGGTCTGGGACAGGGAAGGGAAGCTCAGGGCCCTGAGGGTGGGCACTCCCAGCACCCATGGAGCAGCAGGGAGCTGCCCATGCCAATGCTGATCCTTCCCAGCTCATCTGAATGATGGCTGGGACAGCTCCCCAGTGTTTTTTCCAATTCTGAATTGGCTTTACAGCCAGAAAAATGCACGTGTGCTGAGCATGTCCAGGCTCAGCTCCTGGCCCTGATCTGGCTATTGCAGACCTGCTTCCCCCCACCCTCCCCGCGCGGCGCAGCTGGGACCAGAGCTCACCTCCCCACAATGAGCTTCAGGGCATTTGTAAAAACCCCGTTCAGGGCAAGAGCAAGGCTGGCAGCTGAGAGAGAACAAAAGGGTCACATCAGCACCATCCCCATCTGAAAGTGCAGCGCATCCAGGCATGGGCAGGGTTCAAGCTGCCTCTCTCTGGGACAAGGGGGAGCTCACCAAGGCAGGCTTCCCTCGAGTCCTCGCGGTCGGCACCCATGAACAGCCTTGCCAGGATGATGAGCAACAAGGGAGACAGAAACGTGATGAACTGCACAAAATGGAGAATTTTAGGTGTCAGTGAAGCAGGTTTAAGTTCTCAGCAGAAGACAAGAGCAGTTACTAAGAAGACTCCGAGTACATTTCCCTTCCCCAAAGCCAAGGGGCAATCTGTCCTCTGCAGTTCCATCAGAACACAATCACCCAGCCCCTGATTTGCACCAGGCCCTGACCAGCCCTGCATACCCTTTGGTTCTCAGACAGCTCTTCTGGCAGAGTGCTGCTCTGGCTGGTTTTTGGGGGTGTCCCCAGGCACAGCACCTCAGCTCTCCCCTCCCTGCGAGCCCAGCATCAGCGCTCTGTCAGCAGCACCCGTGCTCTGTCAGCAGCAGCACCAGAGCTGCTGATTCAGAGCAGCCAGTTATCATCATCCTCATCTCAGCCCTGCGGGATTTCACCCCGGGACATCCCCACCACGGCTGCCAGGCTCCCATGGAGTCTGTTCCCACTTCAGCTCTGGCACATGTCCTGCTTTACAATGCCTGTTCCAAATGCTATGCCAAGGTTTTGTCCTTAATGGTCAGCGGCCACCTCTTGCAGAAAATCCCACCTGCTCTTTGCCAGCTCAAGAGCCACAGCCCCTCACCTCACACCTGTGACAGAGTGAGCCAACCCCCCTGGCACACTGCTCTCTCCTGGAAATCCAACACAGAATTAGTCAAACTCTTCTAACCAATCCCGGAGCCCTTGGGAAAACATTTGACAATAAAATGATAATAAATCTCTGCTAAGAATAGCTGCTTGCAAGGAAAACACTCCCTGATAGCGAGAGCTGTGCTATCTTCCAGGCACCCAGGAATTCAGACGTGGAATGGATTATGAACAACAGTGCAAAGTCCTCTTAGTGTATGAACTTCAAATCCCAAAGGCAACCCTGCATGGGAAAGTCTCAAAATATGACAAAATTTCCTGTTTGTTCAGCCTCGTTGGTATTAACCTCACAGAATGGGTAGAAAGGGACCACTGGGGACCAGCAAGTCCAACCCCTCTGCTCAGGCTCCTCAGGTCCATCACCCAGGATTGTGTCGAGATATTGTGAGTATCTCCAGGTCAGGAGACTCCCACAGATACTGCTCAGTCAGCCACAGGAAAGTTCTTCCTCGTGCTGAGGTGGAAATGCCCGTGGTGCAGCTGAGCAGAGCCCGGCTCCATCCTCGCAGCCCCTCCCTGCAGCTATTTATCCACATGGATGCGAGATCCTGCACTTTCTGCAGCGTGCACTAGGAGCTGCAGCTACTGCAGCACTTCAGCCAGCAGCCTTGCTTTAAAAGGAGAGCTTGTAATTTGAGAATAAACCAAAGCAAAGGCAGGAAACACGGGCACAGGCTGCCCCAGCTCCGGAACTCTTCACAGCCAGACGGTGCGGGGGGCTCGGGCTGCTGGAGGGGGGCATCCCCCGTGGTGGGAGGGACAAAACCATCTCTTGAGCTCCCTTCCGGCCCAAACCACGGCACGAACCCACTGAACTTACAAACATGAGGACGGTGGGAACACGGTCCGCTTCGACGTAGGGGTTTTTGTAGAGCCACATCTCCTCGGGCTGCAGCACGCGTCGGAAGGGCGGCAGGAACTCCATGAGCCTGGAAGGAGAGCAGGCGGTGAGCGGGGCAGGGCAGGGCAGGGCAGGGCACGGCCCGGGGGTCCCGCACACACCCGAAGGTGCCGAGGAGCAGCACCCGCAGAGCCGCCTCGGCCGCCAGCTCCGCTCGCCGCATGGCCACCGCCCGCAGAGACACCCGAGCACCGCTGTCCCCCCGCCCCGCCCCACACGGAACTGACTCATCTCAGCAGTGCAACATTCACAACCATTTATTGAAGTCAACCTCAAGCAAAAATTTCAGATCAGTGGAATGTCATTAAAAACCTTTCCAAAGGAATCCTCACGGAAAAGCAAAAGGGAAAAAAAAAAAAAAAAAAAACAAAAGAACAAAAAAAAAAAACCAACAAAACTCAAAACCCAAAAAAACGACATCTGAATTCCAGAGTATTTGTAAAATAAAATTAAAAAAAGGCAACATCTCAGTAAATAGAATGTACAAAAATTACATGTTCTACCATCACACACAGTCAGTAAGAAGCTAAAATATTACAGGCAAGTCTCGATACGCTCTACCTAGAGGACAGGAGCTATCTATGTACAGGGAACCAGCTTTACAGGCTTCACACTATGCAAGAGGACAGAGGCCAACACAAACCCCCCAAAATATCGGATATCTCAAAGTCTATGCGGCAACATCAAGTCATGATCCAGTAATGCCCCGTGGAATCAGACACTCCTCGGCAGTGTCAGGGCTGCATCTGCGTCCAAAAACTCCTCGGTATCGACTTCGGTGAATATCGATGCTTTGCTATTAAAGACTCGAGTGATTTCCTTAAAATAACATTTCACAGAATCTACAAAGTTTGTTACAGATAAACAAAGTCTACAGAAATAACGACTCTACAAAGGTCCATCTTACAGAGCACGTGGGGATGGAGACTGATCCGTGGGGATCCGTGTTGTGCAACATCACTCGCGTGGAGACGAACGGCTCGGGGTCCTCGCAGCACCCCGAACACAAACCCCAGAGCCCCACCCGAACGGGACAGGATCAGCCCGGGGGCTGGGACTGGGACAGTGACACCAGAAATGAGACACAGATCCACCTGGGACAGGGAGCGGAGGGGCTCGTCCAGCCTGGTGATGACCCAAAAGCAAGAGAGAACTGCAAGGTGGGGGGCTCCAGGGACCCCCCACAGCCGCCTGCCCCTGCAGCTGCCACAGGGAGGGAACAGCCCTGGGGCACAGGGAGTGGTGAATGGCTTTGGCAAATTCTTACACGTTTTCCCTTTTTTATTCACATTAATCACAAATCCCCTGCGCAAAGCACAGTTCCAGCTCCCTACCTCCTGCTCTGGAGCGGCGAGACCCCTCCCAGGGGAACACAGACCTAAGCTGCTCACACAGTACCACAGGGAACAGCTTTGCTTTTCTTCCTGTTTTGCCTTGTTTTTTCCTCCTTTTTCCCTCAGAACAACACTGGGAACACATCCAACGTGTAGGAGTGTATCGTAAGTGCAAATGTTTTTGCTACACAAAGAGAAATGGTGGGGAAAGCTGATGGGAGCGGGAAGCAGAGGGACAGCATCGCTCCAAGGTTGCCGTCTCCCACGCGACACCTGGTGAACACGCACCTCCGAGACAGCTGCTTCCAAACCCTCCTGTTTGCCACGGATCCACTGTACAGCGGGAGCAGGAAAGAACTTGGGGGAAGTCAAGGACATTTTCAATGCAGTATACAAAAAATCATGTATAAATAAAAAAGCTGTAAAAGGAACCGCAGAGCTTCAAGTACATTAAACCCTGAATTCAATGAGGCAGAGGTTTCCATGTTAAAGTGACTTCTCCGTACCAGCGTC